TATTGAACGGTGACCAAAGGCAAAATTGGGGCTGATAAGAGGAAACATTGCGTTTAATGGTTTCCAGATGATGAGAACAATGTACAGTAAGGGCACAAAGTGTGAGATTCATAGAAAAGTTTTCCTAAGAATATTTCCAATCCTTTTCTCACACAAGAGAAAATGGGTTAGGGGGCGTTGGGTATAACTTTATGGAACAAAGGGGCGGTGGATCGAAAAAGTTTGAGAATCACTGTATTATACTATAGTATTTGATTTATATAACTATAAATGCTATCTTATGTAAGGGTTCATCACACCAAGTGACCAATCTAACACATTTTAAAAGTTCTTTAAATTGTCTACAGTATAGGAATAAAGAATTTTTAAAATGTGTAAGATTGGTCACTCAGTGTGATAAACCCTTACGTAAGATAACCTTTGTAATTACATAAATCAAATACAATAATATAACAAATATTAAAATAGAAACCATATAGTATTTAGTTATTTCAGCCTACTATTGCCATATTTATCGCAATACTTGGATTGTATGAAATGGCACAATCATTTGTCAAGTAGACACCAATTGAAAATACAATATCTTAAAAAATTTTCTAATGTTAGCACTAACACTGTTTCATTCACATCTAAATATCAAATGGTGATTTGACAACAAATCAAATTTTGCAAAAAATGAACCAAATATTTAAATTTGGCACCCTCAGAAACCACTTAAATCACATTTTGTGCAGACTGGTAACCTTGTATTATGTAATTTTCCTATTTGAATGCCACCATACCGGTGGGTCCAATAGGAAGAAGAAACTGTTGCAGATGGAGATTGTGAAATTAATTCAACCTAAAGTAGTAGCTGTCCTCCTCCTGGGAGAGAGGATGGTCAACAACTACTACTTAATACTGGTTTATTATTAATATTTGAAAAGTGATCCATATTGGATAGGTTGTGATGGCCCTGTGTGTAATTGAAGTTGCTAACCTTAACATCCAAAAGACTTGATATAAGACTTATTTTAAAAAAAAATCTTGTAAAAATGTGAGAATAATTACTTTTATGTGATCATAAAAAACCTGCTAAAACCAGGTTGAAAAAGTAAAGCTCAGCAAAAACATGTAAGTAAAGGAAACTTTCGAAAGTGACATAAGCATACTGGAAGTAATTTGACAGTTAATTTGACATTCAACATGTGAATAAAGAAAGTGCACACAGACTACAACTACAGAAGTTTTGGATGAAGCAATGTCACCATAATAACAAATAGGAAAAGTAAACATTGGCACAAAAAAAGACTTCCAGCTCTATTTTGTGCCTTAAAATTGTTGCACGTACATTAATTTGGCTGAACATTAGAACATCTTTAAGGAGTATTAGTGAAAGAAGTTTGGGGCAATGGGTTTATGAGTTACTAAGGGAAGATTAAATCAGGGAGAGACAGGATATCCAGGTTTCCTGGTAATTAAGCATATCCTCATAAATATTGCATTTATAAGAAAATTATTAGAATTGAATTGGTGTTTTGGTTACAGCAACACAACATGTTAGTGATCTGCTAAAAAGGATGCATCCTAGAAAGACTTTTATGTAAAGCTGGCCCCAATTTAAGTGTTACTAATGCAAAGAAAATCCAGAAAACTCCACATGGACGCCAGTCCATTGGCCAGATGCAAACTCATGACCGACTACCAGTGTTTGGTAGTTTTATCCACTCGGTTACTGGAGGGTACTTATTGGGCTGCAATTTGGAAAAATTGTAGACCTATAAATTCCACTGCTGTCTGTCCATCTCCATCCTTCCTTTATCTCGAGAACAGTGTTAGATAGATGAAAGTCAAAACCAGACATAAAAATACTAAGAGAAAGAGGATCAGATTAACTATATACAAACTTCTGATTTGTACTGCAAATCATACTATTTCAATTCAAAAATTTTCCCCCAGATGGAGTTAGATACATAACTGGCTGATTCTATTGCTAATAGGAAAAGTATAATGTACAGGGGCAAAATACTACTACACTCCACACAGGCTAGTGCAGGGGTGGCCAACAGTTTCTGCCCTGGGCTGAATTGGAAAGAAAACTTTTTTCACAGGCCGAACCAGAGGCTGCTCTAGGAAGATTTGAAGTGGTGCGAGATCTCATTGTGGTGTCACCTCGTAGAGACTAAAATGTACTGTACATAGAGATTACAAATACATTTTTCACATTATCATGCTTTATCAATATTCTACACTGTACTTAAGAGATTTGTAATGGAGGGTTAACTCTAAATGCACAGTGAGTTGTTGACCCCCCTTTTTTCCTTTGTTTTAAGTGCCAGAATTTTTCATCGAGCTATTCAGTCTTGTATAGCTAATATTGAAAGATTAATCACGGGCCACATAAATTCATTAGACGGGCCGTATGTTGGCCATGCCTGGGCTACTGCTGTGTACTACCTGTTGCAGTAATGGCATAATAGCACATATATTTTGTGCTACATCATTGTTGCAGTAATTCAGTGAATATAATATATTATATATTTTTTAAAATTATATCCTTTTTTGTAAGAATAATATTTAGTTAATTATTTTGTTAAATTTTTTTCCAATAGATAGTGCTATATGTAAAGCTAGCAATCAAATATAGACAGAAATAAACTGATGTATAGAAATTCAATTGATAATTTGGGGTGGAATTTATGACATGATCTAAGTTAGCAGTATTTGAATGTAATTGCAGCGTTTCTTATCAATTAATCAAATGGCCTAGGAGTGTATAACTAGCAAACAAATAAACAAACATTCTCATTTGTATATATACAGATTAAAGGAGTCACCCTCTTAACTGGTCTGCATTGTAAATTAAATGCACAGACCAGTTAAGAGAATAACTAGTCTTAACTTACTATCTACATTTTTTGTCAAAATGTGTGCTAATTTGGGTTTATTTTGTGCCCACAAACAACTTTCCTATTGACACTAATATTTTTAATTTAAGGGTTTATTTTAGGCTGATTTTATGCTTTATTCATCAATGGCTTTTGCCATTGAAACAAAATGACATTTGAACAACTACAATCAGATAGATGTAAATTCAAAACTATTCCCACGTTTTCAAAAAATGGGTTTAATGAAC